TAGCAAACTTTCACTCGACAGGGACATACACTACATCCCTGAAGCCTGGTCCAACATCGGCTGTAGGGTTACCTATAGGCCCCGTCGCTTATATTTAGGATCCTATTAGGTAATCCCAAAAAGGAACTACCATGGGCCTATAGGTATGGTATACCAAAACATGTATCCAAACTTGTGTAGTGTCAGGCGACTGCAGCACATCTTCCTTGCCAAGTCTCCTAGGGGAGCTGCGGGTTAACTTGCGGGAACACCTAGGGGTCATAGTACACCGAAAAAGGGAAATCTGAGGTTACTCGTTCTACCTACCACTACTAGCTTGCAAACGCTCTGCTGGATTGGCTTTGGAAGCTTGCGATCTGAGGGGCCCAGGAAGATTGAAAGCCGCCCTCGTATTGGGGAACCTCTTCTAGACAAGGCACACCATCTATCTATCTATCTATCTATCTATCTATCTAGTTGATCTATCGGTCTATGGATCCATCGATCCATCTCCCTATCTATCGATCTATCTATCTACCTATCTATCTATCTATCTATCTATCTATCTATCGCTCTAATATATCTACCGTCTATCGATCTACCGATCATTCGATCAATCTATCTAGCTATCGACCGATCGGTCTATCTATCTACCTACATATCTACCTACCTATCGATCTATCGATCTATCGATCTATCGATCTATCGATCTATCGATCTATCTATCTATCTATCTACCTATCTATCTATCTATCTATCTATCTATCTATCTATGTATCTATCTACATTGATAAGTGTGCGTGTGTCAAATATGTGAACATGAATATATAAATGTATATATATATATAGGGGTGTTTCAATCACTGTCGCATAACAGTCCATGTTGTCTAGCGCTTGCTATTCCCAGCAGCTTCCTCTTGGAAACATTCGAATCAGCCCCAAACCCGAAACCCTAAACCTTTATTCAACCGAGAGAAGCTCCCCAATGCAACTGCTGGCGACGTTGGGCGCTGCAGGGATCAGGACACAGGATCTGACTTCTTAGTAGAAGCCGATTGTTGTCGGGAGGATACCGGGCTCAGTGATAATCTAAGTCTTGAGGGCCTGAAACCTGGAATCCTTATTGACATCTGTCTTTCCACTATACCGCATATTGAGAGTGTGGGCAGGGTTTGGCAAAGCATCTGGATCCGATCCTCATGAACTACCCATATCAAAGCGTGCCAGTGAGTCGACCGATGCGGTACTCTGAGGCATAGCAGGGGTCCTCCTACGCTAGAAGGAAGCTCGAAAGAACCTGCGGGAAACAAGCAACAACCTTCAAACCACAGCACAGGCAAGTACGAATGGATACTAGGCTCGGAATCCCTAAACCTTAAACCACACAATCCCCAACCCTACAATCCGTCATCTTCGATCCTGTTCCCGTCGTGCTGACGGTTGATTGCGGGCGGTTGTCCTTGCTCTGAAGATGATGCGGGGAACTTCTCCACACCGTGTCCACACCAACTGGGGTCAGGTTGGAACCCCTCGCACATGGTGATTTAAGAGACCTTTGATCCAAAGCCTTAAACCCTAAACCCAAACCCCCTAAAGCCTTAAAAGGGCTCAATCCAACCCTATACAAACCCCTAAAGCCGCAAAAAAAGGGCTCAATCGCGCCAACCCTATACAGACCTCCCCGAACACCAAAACCCATAAACCCATAAACCCTAAAACCCATAAACCCCTAAACCCTAGGTTTGAGACGCTCCCCGCTCTTTCAAACAGTTTCAGACTGCAAAGGAAGCCTCGATTGCACGCAGACACATCCCCTAAAGTCAAAAGGCCTCATAGTCGTACCTATAATTATAGTAGCCCTTACTCTTATTTATGTGAAGGAACCCATCAAAATAGTATAGGTAATGATGTAGGCCCCCATCTTACCCATAGGCTCCATTGTAGTTCCTTGTTGTGGTTGATATTGAGAGTCCATTATAAAGGTACTCCCAAAAAAGAACTACGATGGAGCCTATGGGTATAGTAGCCCTTACTTATAAGTATAATGTCTGAGCGCAGGGTTTTAGGGTTCAGGGTTTAGGGATTTAAATAGTGCTTCACGCAGGGCTTAGATTTGTCCGACCAGACCAACCCTCGCATCCTATATGCAACTTCAAGCAATGGTGTCTGACAAACTCGTAGCTTGGAGGCGAAAATCAGCACTTCAGGAATCATTGAAACCACAGGGGTGACGGTTACGCACTTACGGCACTTCGTTGTACAAGGCTGATGCTGAGACTACCATGTGAACCCCAAACCCCAAACCCCTTAAAATCCCATCAGCCCTACACCCCTAAACCCCGCAAGCTCTAAACCCTAAACCTCTAAGCCCCAACATCCCCAAAACTCCACTGCCAGGGATGTCTGCGCACTTCTCTGTAGATCTCCTTCTTGCACCCTACCACCGGTGAGCCTCCGAACGGGCTTCGGGCTTTAGGGATCGCGTTTCAGGGTTCAGGGTTTAGGGTCTGCGGGTTTAGGGTTTAAGGCTGTTTAAGGCTTAACGGTTTCGGTTTGAAGGCACGGGGCAGCCAGTTTGGAGCTATCTGCAGCGCCAACCTCCGAAATCGGCCTTTCAGCCCAAGTTTGCGTGCAAGTTGAGCGACCCAAACAGTGGTTATGAACATATAATACCTTTCTAGGACCATAAGAAGGCAAATTATGCCAAAATGTCGTATGGTGAACGGCTTCGATAGAGAAACAACACTGACTCTACGCCTCCCCCCAGAGAGAAGACAAAGGTGGGCTATATTGCTATATTGCTAATATAGGGGCCTTGATAATTAGAATAGGGTTTTGGGGTATATTACACGATATTCATAATAAGGTGATAGAGGGGTTTTGGGGTATCAGGAACCCTAAGCCCTAAACCCAAAATAGTGTTGGTAATTACTTAAGCCCCTACATTAGCAGAACCTGAGCCTGAACCAGTCTGATCTGGCCAAAGCAATACCCATCATTCATTTGAACCCTTTGGGTTTAGGGTTTAGGGTCTGGGGTTTTGGGTTTAGGGTTTAGGACACACACCAGGCTAGAAGATCAGAAGGGATCGCTAAAGGTTCTGTAAGGGTTGTATATGGCTAAACCCTAAACCCTAAACCCTAAACCCTAAACCCTAAACTCGAAGAGTACTACAAAGCCTGTTGCACGTTCAAAGCCTTTCAGGCCAAATGGCTCCCGGAAGTTCAGGATGTGCACTCCTTCAGGAGCCGGCGTGGTCTCTGGAAGAGCCAAGCCGAACATTCGACTCTGGCGGCTTAGGGGTTTAGGGTTTGGGGTTTAGGGGTTTAGGGTTTAGGGTTTATGGTTTGGGGTTTAGGGGTTTAGGGTTTATGGCTTGGGGTTGAGCCTTTCGGCGAAAGGTTACATAGGGTCATGCTGGAGGACGTGAGGCTTACGGTTACTCAAACCCCCCAAGTCTATAGCAAAATGTCTGAACTAAACCCTTAACCCTAAACCCTAGACCCGAATAACCCCCACACTATCTCCCGCTGTTTTGCTGCTCGGATCATCCCTGCGGTAGCTGCACAAGAGCTTTCGCGGCCTTAGTAACTTGACAAAGTGTTTAGAAAAGCGCCTTATGAGGATGTTTCGCATTTCTTTTCGGGTTCCACAGTGCTGCGTCTAGGGTCTGAATAATGTGAACAGGTTGTTTAGTGTAAGTATGTACGGACTATACGAGGATACTGCTACAGTTCTTCCGACCCCTACTATATTATGTCCGGTGTCCAGGGGGACGGGTGTTTCGTCTCCGAGAATGTCTCGAAAATCGGAAACAATGACCCTGATAGCCCTGCTGGAACCCTGGAAAAAGCCTAACCCTTTCAGGAATGAAATAAGAAAACCCTAGAAAGGAACCCTGACGATGTAGGTTATTGCTGGGGTTCAGGTCAACATTGAAGGTCTTCTGGCTGCTCCTGAGACACGCCGGGGCGGCGTCATAGCATCACGAGGTTGGCAGTTCCTGAAGCCCCTTGTATCTACGATGTGGAGTTTAGGGTTTAGGGTAGGCTAAACCCTAAACCGGGCTTAAACTTGAAGCCCGGCAAACTCAGTTCCGTAGGGTCTTACTCCATCAGTCAGTACACAACGTCATGGCGGCGTGTGAAAGCTGAACCCTCCGACAACCGTTACTGGAGAAAAGTTCTAGTCGCGTTTGGGGGGTTGATACGGCTGATGATATAAATCCTGCATTACCCATAATAAGGAACATACCGTAATTCCCAAAGTTTAGGGTCCTTAATTATTAAGCTAATGCAGGATTTATATCATCAACAGTAGTATAGAGACTTTGTTCAAAGAATCTGAGTAGCAATGCTCACACGCATGCGTAGACACGCACACACGCTTAAGCAATTAAAACACGGCAGTTCAAGCTCCTGCTGTCCTTGGAAGGCGGGCCATCAGGCTGGGGATCTTCAGATCCGGACATCTTATTGAAGGATCCTGACTAGGATATGGATCCGGGTTTGTGCTTTCTCAGACTCCAGGAAGCTCGGAAAGGGCTTCAACCCTACAACCTAAGAAAGCTGCGCGATCGATCTCGCGAACTGCCAAACCGGATCTCGACGACATCCGTGCGAAGGAAGAAACGGCCGAACGAACTCTTGCGAAGCTAAGGTTATAGAGGACCCAGGCTTGATGTAACCCACTGACCAGGGTCCTCGTTGGGGAATCTGACCCTTAATTACCATAATGAGAAAACCATGGTTCGTACTAATAGAACCCTATTCTGCTGCCAGTCGCTGAAGTTACAATCACTAACAAGAACCCAGATAACCTACTTTCTGTAGGGGCTGCCCGTAAAGTCGATATAGACTTTAAATAGGTCCTGTTAACGAATGGGCTACGGTAGCGTAGGGCTCTAGAAAGGCCATAAGAATGCCATAAAGCATACTGTTCAAGGTTCGGGATTCAGGACTAATTAATATAGGGGCCTTAATAATTAGAATAGGGTTTTTTGGGCCCATTATACCATAATT